TTTGAGACAGGGTCTTGATCTGTCTGTCACTCAGGCTAGAGTACAGTGGTATGGTCACGGCTCACTGCATCTTCAGCCTCCTGGGCCCAAGAGATCCTCCCACCTCAGCCCCCTGAGTAGCTGGGGCCACCAAGTGCACCAGTATGCCTGGCTGATTTTTTTGTTTTCTGAAGAGATGGGTGCCTCCATGTTGCCCAGGCTGGTCTCAGATTCCTGTGCTCAAGCAGTCCTCTGGCTTCGCCTCCCAAAGTGCTCAGATTACAGGCGTGAGCCATCATGCCTGGCCCTCCTAGGTTACTTTTACTAGCTTTTAAATTTTATTTTCATTTATTATTATTATTTTTTGAGACAGAGTCTTGCTCTTTTGCTCAGGCTGGAGTGCAGTGGCATGATCTTGGCTCACTGCAACCTCCACCTCCCAGGTTGAAGTGACTCTTCTGCCTCAGCCTCCTGAGTAGCTGAGATTATAAGTGCCTACCACCATGCCCGGCTAATTTTTTGTATTTTTAGTAGAGATGGGGTTTCACCTTGTTGGCTAGACTGGTCTCGAACTCCTGACCTCAGGTGATCCGCCTACCTTGGCCTCCCAAAGTACAGGGATTACAGGTGTGAGCTACCGTGCCTGGCCTTATTTATTTTTTTAGAAAAAGGTTCTCATTTCACTATGTTGCCCAGGTGTACTCCAACTCCTGGGCCCAAGTGATCCTCCTGCCCTGGCCTCCTCAGTAGCTGGGACTGTAGGTGCACACTACCATGCCTAGCGAATTTGTTGTTGTTGAGACAGAGTCTTGCTCTCTTGCCCAGGCTAGAGTATAATAGGACAATCTTGGCTTGCTGCAACCTCTGCCTCTGGAGTTCAAACGATTCTCCTGCCTCAGCCTCCCCAGTAACTGGGATTCTATAGGTGCCTGCCACTATGCCCGGCTAACCTCAGCTAATTTTTAATTTTTTATAGAAAGGGTGTCTTGTTATGTTGCTAGGCTGGTCTCCAACTCCTGTGGCCCCATTTTTATATTGAATTTCATTAACTTCTTTTTATAAAGTGAGATCTTTTATTATCTTCACCTCTGCTTTTTTTTTTTTCTTCTGTTTTTTTCTTTTTTACTTTTTTTGTTTCATTCAAGAATCTTCTTCCTAGACCATGTTTTTTATTTTTTTTAATGGGTAGAGAAACAGGCTTGCTGGGTACGGTGGCACACGCCTGTAAATCCCAGCACTTTGGGAGGCTGAGGCAGGTGGACCACAAAGTCAAGAGATGGAGACCATCCTGGCCAACATGCTGAAACCCCGTCTCTACTAAAAATGCAAAAATTAGCTAGGCATGGTGGTACACGCCTCTAGTCCCAGCTACTCGGGAGGCTGAGGCAGGAGAATTGCTTGAACCTGGGAGGCAGAGGTTGCAGTAAGCTGAGATTGTGCCACTGCACTCCAGCCTGGTGACAGAGCGAGACTCCTGTTCCAAAAAAAAAAAAAGGCCGGGCACAGTGCTCACTACTATAATTCCAGTGCTTTGGGAGGCCGAGGCGGGCAGATCACCTGAGATCGGGAGTTCAAGACCAGCTTGACCAATATGGAGAAACCCTGTCTCTACTAAAAGTACAAAATTAGTTGGGTGTGGTGGGTGCATACCTGTAATCCCAGCTACTTGGGAGGCTGAGGTAGGAGAACTGCTTGAACCCAAGAGGTGAAGGTTGCAGTGAGCCGAGATCACACCATCGCACTCCAGCCTGGGCAACAAGAGTGAAACTCTGTCTCAAAAACAAAAAAAAAACAAACAAAAAAACAGGCTTGTCTAAAAGTACTTACTAATATGTGTTTGAACATAAGTTTAAAACTTTGCTCTTTCTGCTACACCATGTTGTGATCTTCAGTCACTTTAGTGTCAAAGACAGAGACACTGTTATGTTCTGACAAAATGAAACTTACAGCTTCCTGACTCCTCCTGTCTCTTTTGGTTTTCTAGTATCTTAAGCACACTTACAAGGCTTATTTTAAAATATATAAAGAGAGAACAAATCTTAATCATGTTTTAATTTGTATTCTTAAGGTGGGGAGAAGAATTTTCCTTGTCCAAGCACCCTCAGGTATGTTTTAAAATCCAGCCATTAAGAACATTAAAAATTGCCATACCCTAAAGTTCATATATGTGACACTAAACTTCAGTTAGTTCTAACTGGTGTAAAGGGATAGGTTTTTCTCAGACTTCTCTGACCTGTCTGGATATATTTTGTTAAAATACTGTGACATAATACACACCTGATTTAGTGGATGAGGAGTCAGCATTGGGCTCAAGTTTGTTCAGA